ATACCCCCTATACCAACTTCCCGGCGCGGGCACGTCAAAAAATACATACCCACATGTTGACAGCCAAGCTAGCTTGCGCTTTGTTTCGTTGAGCTCCTGCCTGCAGATACGGATACGTCTTAAACTTAGTCTATTTGGTTGCAGGTTGGTCTTTGGAAACAATTGCCAATTCATGAGTCATTTGATGAAGAGTCTGTCCAGATTAGGTTTGCCGCTGCGAATGAACAGTCGTTGTTGCATGTGGCAAGCGAACAGCTTGAAGCGTTCTTTGGCAGAAAGACTCATGATCAGCTGCAAGCTCTTTTTCGCTTCTTTGTTCTAGCCAAATAGGGCCCCCTTTTGATCTTGAATCTGGCCCAAGTCGCTACTGATTTTTTCTGCGCACTTTGCTTGCTGCTGATGTTGGCTCAATGAGCAAGTGGACCGTGGCACGCGGGACTTTCGCATATGCGCTGGGATGAAAGCGTGTCCAGCAAATGTGACTTGCGTGTCCCCCGGTGTCCCACTCAGCATCTTCGACACGAGTCTGGTGGGCCACATTCTCTGTGCGCAGCTGGGCCTTCGGTCCCTCCAAGGCCCGTCATTGCCTTGCGGCAATGAGTTGAAGCAATGACATGAAGTTTCCGCCTGAAGACGGCTCGGGCCTGTGCTTGCAGCGCCAGGATGCCAGCCTCCGAAGGATTGGACGGCCGTGTGCCCCTCCAGCGGCAGCGGCAGCTGAGCAGCGCCAGAAACCCTGACAATACAAAGTAGTAAAGGGGGGTGTCCTATAGAATCCCCGTGAAAGCCAAAACGCAGGCCGCGAAAGCTTGCGAAAGCTTATCGCGAAAGTAACCAAAGAAAGTCCCGCCGCGAAAGACCCGCGAAAGCCTGCATGCTGTGTGACGCTCCGCCGCGAAAGCGTCGCGAAAGCAATTCTAAAGAAACCAAAGCCCGCGAACGCAAAACATGGGGTCGCGAAAGCATCGCGAAAGGGTCCGCGAAAGCAAGTTTATAGGACCGCTTTTTACACAAGAGTATTTGGCACGGCTCAGCTGTTCACCCGATTTGTCCAGGCCGTTGGACGGCGAAAGTCATGCGATCGAGTGAATTTAAGGCGCCCGTGTTTTGAAAAGACCCCAAGTGTGCCGGGGATGCGTTTGAGCGCGCAGTGTAAGCTGGTTGTGCCTACGCTCGCATCGCGAGGTATGGCCTGCAGAGAGTGCAGATGCAAGTTTCTCGTGCGGCGTGACTCGCAAGGTGTCCACGTCGTAGGCCACGCTGAAACTGCCACTGCCCTGCGGGCATTGTTTTTTTTGGGCGGCCGTTGTTTTGAAGATCCCCATGCATGTGTGCCGGGGCTGCGCTTGAGTGCGCTGCGAAAGGTACGCTCACATCGCAAAAGGTAGCGGCTGCAGATGGTGCAAATGCAAGTTTCTCGCACAGCATGACTTCCAAGGTCTTCTGAGGGATTTCCGAAATGTTTGATGCGATTCCTGCAGTCAGGTAGCAATGCGCAGAGACTGCATGTGTTTGGCAGCCAGCAAAGGTCGTTTTACCTTTCGCGCATGCTGCCAACTTCGAGCAACTGTGTCCAAAGCGGGGACACTCATCCTGCTGCGTAGAGCGTTCCCGTGAAGGGTCTACCGCGAAAGGAATTACGGGCATCACGAATGGTCGGTGGGTGGAATGTGAAAGCTTTTCAAAACCAAGGCAGAAGCAACACATGTTGCGCAGATGAACTTTTGGAAGTATAGGGTAGCGCAGGTTGCCAAATGGCTTTTCAATCATGTCTTCCTGCGAAAGGAAGCATGAGACCCGCGAAAGGACGGCGAAAGTCCTGCGATCGAGTGAATTTAAGGCGCCTGTGTTTTGAAGAGACCCCAAGTGTGCCGGGGATGCGTTTAAGCGCGCAGTGTAAGCTGGTCTTGTGCCTATGCTCGCAACGGCAGGTATGGCATTTTTGGCCTGCAGACTGTGCAGAAGCAATTTCCTCGCGCGGCATGACTCACAAGGTATCTCGAGTGATTTTCAAACTTACAAACTTACGTGGTAAGAGCCTTCATGTGTGCCGGGGCTGCTCTTGAGTGCGCCGCGAAAGGTATGCTTCTGCCATGCGCTTCAACAGGTAGCGGCTGCAGACGGTGCAAATGCAAGTTTCTCGCACAGCATGACTCCAAAGATCTTCTGAGGAATTTCTTTGATGTGCGGTTGGCGGCCTTAGTGGGTCACCCTACTGTTTGTCACAGCCGCAGGTCCAAATCCAAATCTGAGTGCTGGTGCAAGCTGCGCTGAAACTGCCGCTGCCCTGCTGGCCTTCCCTCCTGAGTACTTGGCTCCTGCAGTCAGGTAGCACTGTGCAGAGACTGCATGTGTTTGGCAGCGCGCAAAGCTCGTTTTACCTGACTGGGCGGCTTGCGCGCAGGCTGCTCGAAGTTGGCAGTTATGTCCAAAGTGGGGCCGCTCATCCTGCGGCGTAAAGCGTGATCGCAAAGGGCCTATCGCGAAAGGAATCGCGGGCATCACGAATGGTTGGTGGCTGGAATGCGAATGCTTTTCAAAACCAAGGAATCAGTAGCACATGTTGCGTAGATGAGCTTTTTTGAAGTATAGGGTAGTACATGTTGCCAAAATGGCTTTTCAATCATGTCTTCCTGCGAAAGGAAGCATGAGACCCGCGAAAGGACGGCGAAAGTCCTGCGATCGAGTGATTTTAAGGCGCCTGTGTTTTGAAGACTCCAAGTGTGCCGGGGATGCGTTTAAGCGCGCAGTGTAAGTTACAGCTGCTTGTGCCTACGCTCGCATCGCGAGGTAGGGCCTGCGGAGAGTGCAGATGCAAATTTCTCGCGCGGCGTGCCTCGCAAGGTATCCGCGTCGTAGGCCACGCTGAAACTGCCGCTGCCCTGCGGGCATTGTTTTTTTTGGGCCGTTGTTTTGAAGATCCCCATACATGTGTGCCGGGGCTGCGCTTGAGTGCGCCGCGAAAGGTACGCTTACATCGCAAAAGGTAGCCGCTGCAGATGGTGCAAATGCAAGTTTCTCGCACGGCATGACTTCCAAGGTCTTCTGAGGGATTTCCGAAATGTTCGATGTGCGGTTTGCGGCCTTAGTGGGCGGGCGGCCAAATCCACCATAGAAGAGGAAGGCCTTTTTGATGTGCCCCTTGTCATGATGGATGGATTCCAGAAGCTGAGCGTGGGTCGGTTTCACACGGGGTCGCCAGGGTGTTTGAGGGTGGGCAGGATCAACACCCAAACCAATGCAAATGCAAACGCAATCATATTTCTATTTTCGGTGCACGCTCGATGTACGGAGTGCCTGCGCCGTGCGCTCGCATCACAAAGGAGTGTCAAGCTGCAGAATGCGTACATGCGCGAAAAGCAAAGTACTCATACAGCATGGCTCCCTCAAGGCATGTCGAGGGATTTCCAACACGATGTCATGTTGACGTGCGCTTTGTGGCCGAGCAGGGGGCATTGTCCAACCAAGCGAATCCCAGTCCGGCACTGAAACGTCGCAGCAAAGGGTTTGAGTGCGCTATGAGTGGCTCGTGACTTCTTGTCTGACTCTTCGGGCCAACCAACTGGCAATGTGCAGAGACTTAAAATCAAGAAGTCAAGGGCCCATTGCGAACAATCGTGGCTAGAGCGGAGCCGCAAATGCTGAATCTAGGCTCCTCACTCTTGAGATTGGCTATGTTAAACGCATTGCTCAGCCAGCCTCAGTCGCAACTCTCCAAACTTTCATCGAGCCAGGCAACCCGGGCCCTCCCTGCCCCGACTCCGCGGCAGCTGCGCCGACCAGCGTGCGCGCCATGGCTGCGTTTGCGCGTGTGGCGCAGGTCCGCTTGCGCCGGGTCACGTTTGAGATTACACGTGCAAATGCCGAATAGCATGAGAATCTGGAAACATCGACTCACTGAGGGCCAGGCGGGGTGTCGAAATTCTGATTTGCAGTTGGCAGCTTGCACTTGAGCGACACGCACTCACCTTCCCCGAGCCAAATCTCTCGTATGTAGTCCGGCCGCGTGCCTTCCCTGCACGCCGGCCCGCGCCTCAAAGCCTTTCAGAATTGGAGCTTGGGCGCACTGTGCCCCGAGGCATTTGGTTTTGGCCATGCTGCTCCGAGGGGTTTGGGCTTGTGAGCCAGAATCCGCTGGAAGCAGCTGGAGAAAGCTAGGCGAGTGTGGCTTGCGACTCTTACTCATTCGAACTTTGGCCTACTTCTCGCACGCAGAGTTGCAATGACAATAGTGCTGCGAGAGAGACACTTCCTGCCTGTGGTCAATAAAAAAGAAGGCCGCATCTGGTGAAGTGCTCGGCTTGTCGCCATTTGCACACCGGCAAAGGACAAGCTCCCGGGGCGCAAATAGCCTGGCAAAATATTCCGACAGTCAGAGATGCACACCATGACAGCTTGCAAAGGTTGTGGGAGGCATGACTTGACCAATCCAGCCGGACAAATGCCCACCTGTCATTGCTGGTGGGATATACGACCATTCTTGGCCCAACACTTCACAGAGCCAACTCCAAGCTGGTACACATTGCAGGCGAAACAAAATCCGGCAGGGTGATTCATTGGCAGGGATGGACCCACAAGCCATGGGGGGGGGGGGGGGCATGCAGAGGGCCTCCGAAGCTCACGGGAGTCTTAAAATCCCCATTTCCGCCTGGCCTGCAGACCCAATCGATGAAAGTGAGGTAAACAATGGTGGTGATATTGACTTCACTGCTGTTTGCAGGTTCTTAGGGGTTGTTTGGTTTTCTGGTTCTGTTCGTTTTTAGTGGGGGGCTGCAAAACACGGAAGTTTATGGCTACCACACCAAAAGTTACACATGATTCACCCACCTGCTTTGGCGTGCAACGTGTTGGATTGTTGGACCATGGAGCCAGCAACCCCCTCCCCCCCCCAAAAAAAAGCACCCCCCCAAAAAAAACACAAAAAAAGGAGACGAAACCCGTTGGGTCAAAAATCGACACCCGTTGGGTCGAACTCGGATTTCGATTTTCCGTTTTCCGAGGCGCCTCTTTGCCAAAGCGCTGCGGCTGCTGCTGGGGCGCCTGCGATTCGTGGAGCTCCAAACTGGGGCACAGCTGCTGCCCTGCCTGCCCTGGCGCAGGCCTTTTCAGCTTCCGTCCATGGGTCAAAAGCCAAAACATCCCAATCCAACCACTAAAATAGGTTCTAAAATGGGTGGTGAATTCACCTACCCCAAAATGGGATCCCATTGGTTTTGACCCACGGCCATGTGAGCCACGTGCTCAAAACCGATTCGGGTAGATGAAGGTTGAGGGACAATCAAATAGCCAGATTTAGTTGCGGAGATCCGCCTTCGTAGTTCCTTACATGGTTCTTGGTCCACCATTTTAATACCGGGTTTTGATTGTGACTCATGCCCCCCTTTAATTTTCCCCTGCCGACGAGGGCCTGAAAAGGACAAACTGTCAAGTTTGTGACAAGCTTGATTCTTTCTTGCGGCATAGCGAAGTGGCCTTTGGACTTGAGGCGACAACGTTGGAATCTGCTTGGACTTGTGCGCTCGTACAAAAGAGCTTGGTAACTCGAAGATCGAAAGATGTCGGTGTGCCATTTTGCGAGGGGAATCTGTCTGGGGTGGACAAGCCCTTGGCTCCCGTTGCATTCAATTCCTGTTTGGCAGGGACACGATCAGTTGGATCCCTTATGAGGCCAGTTTGGAGCAATGGGAATCCCCCTGATCACCACAGGTCCTATTGGGGTTTTCCAGTTGGACACTTTTGGACTTGGTGACGCTGTCGCGATCCGCAGGTCCAATCCCTTCAATGGATTCGAATCGGATGTGTCCGGTTGGGGTTTTGGGCAAATATGACAAATCAATTCGCCGATCGGCGAAGCGGACGGCACTGGTCTTCAACACTCATACACCAGTTTCTTCGCTCGCAGCCCCCAAATTTGGACCATGCTGGTGGTTCCCCGGTTTCGCGGGTGCCACCCCCATTCAGAGGCGTGGCACATGAAATTCACAAACCGCAACCTGCTCCCTGTGGCTGGCAGGGGGCAAGAAGTTGATGTTCAGCCCTTTCGGTGGCTCCTGAGAAGGGTAAGGTTGACCCCATATTAGTCAACCCGAGTTGAGTAACAGGGAGGTGCTTCTCCCTGAGTTTAGTAAGGAACCAGACCACTTTTGGAGGGCCCCGCCTGGCCCCTACTAACAATCAGGTGTTGATTTTTTCCCATATGGCTGTGGCTGAGATATGTTTTCCACCAAAATGGCGCCCTGGGAAATGGAACCAAAGACGAAGAGCCGCGGTTCGCCCTACCCTTAAAATTTTGAGCCACACTTGCAACCAGGGGTCACCAGCCTACGTCTGCTCGGCCAAGTTGGTTCAGAGGTTGTGGCGCAGCACACGCTACGTGCCTGGCCTGTGGGCTGCGCCGGAGGTCCTCGCCGAGTGAAAGCTCGACACGCGAGATGCTTCGGGCGGGCAAAGATGGGTTGAAGCAAAGCCCAGGTCTCCGGGAAAACACAAGGAGTTTGTTTAAACAAGGTTTTGAACTATTGGTTTGAAGGTTTTGTTCCGCCAATTTAAACAAGCAAGGTTTTGAACCATGGTTTGAAGGTTTTGTTCCGCCAATCTCTTCGGCTGCACCATTTCAAGCAGTGGAACTCTGGGACCCACGTCTGCGAATCGGAGAAGAGAGGTTCAGTACTTAAAGATGGCGCGCGGTGCCAGGTGAGACGAAGTAATCACAGATGCGTCTCTCTTCGGGTGTGGTTCCTTTTTTTGAGTTGGTACCCTTCTTGTGGTTCGTAAGGAATCCACCAGGAGAACTTCATCACTTTGGCTCCCCCTATTTTGAGACACACCCATTCAGGAAACACCTTGAATGGCTTCAACAAAGCGGGTTCCGATCTCCAATCGGTGTACGGTTCTGGAACTTGTGAGAACTCATTCATTCAACGAGTCACCCAATCTACACTGCAGCTTCGCATGGAACCCAAACAACCCATGTGGGGCCACGTTACTGCATGCGATCTGGCGGGGATTGGCCAATGGGCAGTACGCTTGGGGATCCTTTTCGACAAGTCGTCCCCTAAAGTGTTCAGGTAACCCCAAATTGGTGGTTTGGATGGATTTGGGGAAATGAACCTGCGGTTCTTGTAGAGGATACATCAGACCCATCCGTGACCTGGGGAGATTTCCATTTCTGTGCATACGGACTAAAAGATCCTGAATCCGGGCTCAGAAGTCTCAAGCCCACGAGCTTGATGCACTGTTTACCTTCCGAGGATATGAGACCGATCTTCAGAAGGTGTAAAAAAATTTCCAGCTCAGTCAAGCATGAACACCAACCCCTAGAGGGAAATGCTGGTACCTTCGGAAGCAGAACCAAACTGGCACAGGTATATCCTTACCAGTTCTGTCAGGATCTCGCGCACATCCTCTTACGACACTTGCAGGTGAAACCGCTTGACAATGAGGTGTACCTCTTGGAGGACCTTTTTGAACCATTCACCATCAAGCAGGTTGATATCCTGCGAAAGGAGATGGAAGCCATTGACAAGGAGTTCAACATGACCAGCAGCAGTCTTGCAGTCAGAATCCAAGACCTGCCGTTCAACAAGGACGTTCAACCATTAGTCATCCAGGATCCGCTAGTCCAGAAATTCCAGAAGACGATGAAGCAATACCCGCCTGGGACTGAAATCGATATCTTCAAGCAAGGTCCTAATGACTGGCGATGTCAGAACATGTGGAATGGCTGTAAGAAGTTGAGACAATTGTGCATCTCATCCACTCAGTATGATGCATGCACCGCATACGTCCACACCATTGGCATCAATATGCCTATTACGTCACCTCCGGACGATGCAATCATATCCTTCTGGCAGCCTGATCAGCTGAATAGAATTTGGGTCTTGCCTGCATCAAAATGCAATTGGGAGAAATATGATCCGAAGACTTGGCATGCTGTGATGTTTTCATCCGTTCATCAGTCGTTCACCGATGCGCCGGCCATCAAGCCGATGCCCATCGAGACGGATCCGCTGGATCCAACGGATGCACCTCAACAGCCTGACATGCAGCAGCCGCCTGATCAACCGGACCATCCCACGCCTGATCCAAGACCTCCAACACCTCCGGACGAGAACATGTCAGATCCTCCTTCGGATCCTCCAAATCAGCCTGATCATCGCATGCCGCCAGCACCACGCAGTGTGTCACCAGACAGTCCAGTGGAGCCTCCACTACCGCCACACGACCACCCTGGCGGAGGAGATGCAGCGCTTAAACGGCAAAAACAGTCCATTTCATCCTCAAGTGGACTCAATCGACTGGGGGGTGATGTCTCTTTGCCGTCACAGTCGCAATCATCTCAGCCAATTCTTCCGACTGTCGTGGTACCTTCACCACCTGCGATTCTTACAAATCCCGAAGCAGAAGAACAAGATGAAGATCTTGAACTGCCAACACTTGCGCAAGAAGAAACAACCGGCAGTCCATCAAAGAAGCAGAAGACTGGGAAGAAGAAGAAGCCAGATGACAATGATGAGTCACCTGGGCATTCTCCCAGACATGATCCTGCATCTTCATCCAATCAAACAATCCAGCGAATTTGCCGGTCCACTATGAAAGTGAGGAAGAACTGATCCCTCATGTTCCAACCTCATCCGGCGCTGGAAGTTCAGAAAGAACCATGAGATACACTGACCAGGAAGATGGAGATTCAGAAGACTCTCAGAGGACCAGATCCTACGATGATCACCAAGCTGATCTCGTTCTAGATGAAGCGCATTGGTCACTCATGACAGCCGAACAGAAGATCTGTGCGAACACCGGATCCTTTACGGTTCCGAGAGATATCGAAGGCAACCCTGTCCTTCTTGGACGTGTGCAAGGGACCTTCAATCCATCGCCCCGATGCGGATTCTCTCATCAGAAACACACAGATCAGAATCATGTTGACCAGTTATGCAAGAACATGACCGACGATGACCGTGCACTCTTAGTTCTGTATTCATCCAAGCAAGAATCTTTGAAGGCTTCATCCACATCCGCACTCATTGGCAAGAAGCGGAAGGAAGCTACAGCCACGGAAGTAAGAGCTTATCAGAAGCAATTCCTTGAAGCCAAGCAGCTTGAGTGCAAATCATGGCTTGACAATGAAGTGTTCGACTTAGTCGATACACGCAAGATTCAGGTCAGGAACTGGGTCACCGGTCGCTGGGTCCTAACCCTGAAGCGAGACAAGGATGGTAACTTCCTGAAGACCAAGGCTCGCTGGGTCCTCCAAGGCTTCCAAGACAAGCAGAAAAATGATCAGCAGACAGACAGTCCTGCTGCATCCAGGAGTGGCTTCCGCCTTGCAATCCAAGCAGCCTCAAATAAAGGCTGGAATATATTCCACATGGACTTGAAGACAGCATTTCTCCAAGGCGAAGCATACGATCAGTCTCGTGACATCATTTGTCAGATACCTCCTGAAATGGGATATCCAATGTGTGGGAGCGCGCATGAAGAAGCCTGCCTATGGGCTAAATGACGCACCACGCAGATGGTGGAACATCCTTGATTCGGCACTTCGTTCACACGGACTAGTGCCAACCCGGGCAGACCGTTGTACATACGTGTACTACGGCAAGCAACTTCCGAAACCCGCATTGGTGAGTGAAAGGAAATCATCCACAACTTTCGATCTAGAAGGAGCAGTCGAGTACCTAATGGATCCTGTTTCTGGTAACAATGCAAAGAATCGACAAGTTCATGGAGCACTGTCTCTTCATGTAGATGATCTTCTTATGACGGGGGATGACGTGTTCGAGAAGGAAATCATGGGACGACTTCGGAAAGATTTTCAGGTTGGTTCCGAGGACAAAAATGATTGCCTCTTCGTAGGACAGCGCATCCAATGGAAGCAAGATGACAAGCACGGTTGGTACATCAATGTTCATCAGAACGTTGCCATCGACGAACTGCAGGAGATCGCTTTTGACAAACACCAGAAGGACGACACTCCTCTTACTCCACAAATGCATACTGCGTACAGAAGTGTCCTCGGTCAGATCAATTGGTTGCAGACGCGAACGCAATTCCACATTGGTTATCAATTCTCAAGGTGTGCATCCAAGGCTTCATCACCAACCATTGAGGACGTTCGCGCCATTAATAAGACAGTCAGAACCATCAAAAGCATCCCGCTTAGCATGAGATTCTGGCCCCCTCGTGGCAGACACGCATAGTTGGCTATCCAGATGCATCCTATCGCAACAACGAGGATAAGTCATCCCAACGTGCGCATGTTATTTTTCTTGCAGAACAAAGAGATCTTCGCCAGGGCTCATCGAACTCGAGAGGCTCACTGGTCGACTATGAGACGCACAAGATCACCGCCACAACCATGTCCACTACTGTTGCAGAGTTGCACGGACTAATGCGTTGTTACGGTTCAGCATTATTTCTTCGCGGTCTCTGGTCAGACATAACGGGCGAAATTGCAGATGTACACATCCGCACTGATGCGAACAATCTTGTCACCACAGCATCCACAACACATCAACCGGAACAGAAAGAAACAATGCATTTGATCCAGATGTTGAGAAAGGAAAGCAACAGCGGACAGATGCACGACCTTGCACATGTACGGAGTGAAGATTGTCTGGCAGATTCGCTGACCAAGCATTCAGCTAAAGCAGACGAGCTCATCAAGGCCGTCCTCACCGGCAATCTCTTGAATGTAGATGCACATCCAGCTTTCCGTACCATGTTGCAGAACAAGGCATTCTTGGTTGAGTGGCTAGCGCACAACACGAAGCACGGACCCGACATCATTGCCTTTGCAGGAGTCGGTATGGGGAACCTGGGCATGATCCGCATGTCCACGAATTCTGATGCATGAGTTTTTCCGTTTTGCATATTTTCAATTCCTCAATTCCGTGATGCGCGTGTTTGCACTTGACCCATTTTGAATCTCAAGAAATATGTGTCTGCCTCCGCAGCCACTTTCGGTTTACAACCAATCCGACCTTTGCAATCTTGTATGCTCGATCACCTCGCTGACATGCCCATTTTAACCTGATGTTTGGACGATCCGGCGATGCGACACGTGTGCCAAAGCCGATGATCAAGAGACGGGCATCACCATTGAAGGAATCTCCTGCTCGCGATGAGGAAGATGAGACATCCGATTGCCCCATGGAGCAAGTCGCTGATGAGAATCCATCCGCCTCTCAACAACCCGAGAATGTCAACATGGAGCAGGTTGATTATGATCGAGATTCCGATGACGATGATTCAGATGAAGAAGGGCGTCCTCTCGCAGGAAGGCCTTTGTCAAAGGCGATGCCACATCCGAAACTTGTTCCAAAGTCACCGCCACCAGCATTGAGGCTTGTCTCCAAGGTCAAGCCAGCACCAAAGAACATCCTGGATGACGAGACGGAATCCGACAATCAT